GTGGCACAACCTTTGTTACAGGGATCTTGAGTAAGAGTGGTCACCTAGACATGCTGCAAAGTTCATCTGTGGGAGGGACAAAGGAACCCCACATCCTGGAAAGAAGACCCCTCAGGCAGAAATGTGAGATGAGGATTGTCACAGTTGCTGACCTGTGACAGCTGGAGATCTGAGCGAGGGGCATGAAAGCAGGCAGCAACTTGAGAGTGAAACTGGAAGAGAGACTAAGGGTCCCCAGCAGAATCTGTGACAGGTTCTGAGAACCGCGGACAGAGTGCAGGTCACTGATTGACGTGGGAACAGAGAAACACCAATCACAGAGAGAAAAAAGAATATAAAGGACAAACTCTACTAGAACCGATGAACAAGTCTCAGAAAGGGGATGAGAATAGTCCTAGAGATGAGAGTCACCACAGAGGCTCTAGGTCAGACATTTTATAGGCTATTATAGGCACCATTTCCAAGTGCTGAGGTTACTGGTATGTATTACCACACCCCACTAGTACAGTGCTGCTGACTATGTTCTTGCTGTTTTTCATGTCCTTTTGATAGGAGATCTCATTATGAAGCACAGGCTAGCCTCAAACTCACAATTTCCTGGGGCACAGGAATAACATTACTACAAAATAAAATAATTGCAAAATAGGCCCCTAGGATTCCAAATCGAGGTCAGTGAAAAATTCTGTGTGCAGTGATGTGAATGTCCCCTCCATGTTGAAATTTAACTGTCATTTTGTGCTGATGCAGACCTTTGAGGGGTGAATAAAGATGGTTGTGTGACATGTTTCCTGAGGAGGCATGAACAAGTATCTGCTCACCCCACTTAAAAAACCTATGACACACAGAGGTAATGATGCCACCGAAGCCCAGTTGGTAAACCAACGGTGTATGGGTAAGAGGTTACTTACAAGAGCACGGATGACTCATAGGCAGCTAGCTGCATAGTGAAAGCCCAGCACAGGATGGGCTCACAAAGCCCTGGGGCTCGACTTGCAAGCACCAGCAGGTCCCAGAGTTTTATTGCCTCTGCAGTCATTATTGCCTTTATAACCTTTTATAATCTGGCTTCAGGGACTTCCTGAGACTTGAGAGTTGTTTACATACTAAATCTTTTTTGAAACTCTTTTTGTATGTGTGGGTTGCTGTTTTATCTTCTGCATATTGGCTGTGCCTTAATCTTCAGGCAGCAATTGTGACTCCAAAGTTACCAGCCTGCTTCTCTGTTCCCGAAGGGCCCAGCTCTGTCACTGCCACTAAAGGCAGCTTTGACTAAACCTTCACTGTTCTACTTATAAATAAGACTTTAACTAAATCTCTATTGTTCTATTTATAAATAAGACTCAAGATTCAAAGGCTGGGGTGAAAACCTGCCAGTTCAGAGAGGTTGAGTAGCAACTAGCTAATCTTCTTTCCTTGCTGAAGTCTCCCCAAAAGCCCATCCTCTGCTCCACCAAAACAAACAAACAAAACAAACAAACAAACAAAACATGCCACTCAGAATCCCTCCCTACTATTTCTTGTGCATCTCTCTATCTCTTCCAGATGCGCTCTGATGCTCTATGGTTACTTTCTGTCAACTTCCAGATGCCCTCTGATGCTCTATGATTACTTTCTGTCAACTAGTTGCTAACTCAGCCTCCTGATGCAAGGTTAATTTTATTTAATTAATGCAAATGCTAACTCAGGGTTCATAGTGTGATTGAATATCCCCCAACAGTGGGTGTTTTGTCTGCATATATGTCTGTGCACTATGGGTGTGCCTGGTTCCCATGGAGGCTAGAGGCCACTGGATTTCCTGGAACAGGAGTTGCAGCTGTAAACTGCCATGTGAGTTCTTGGAATCAAACCCAGGTCCTCTGGATGAGAATCCAGCGCTCTTAAGGACTGAGCCACCTGTCTAGGCCCTACATCCTAAGCCTTAAAGAGCTCTGCTGTGGAACGGTCTTTGTACACTGTAAATATGTATTTCTCTCATTGGTTAATAAAGAGCTGACTGATCTATAGCTGGTTGGGAGAGCCAGATTAGGAGGATGCTGGGAAGAAAAAGGGCAGAGTTTCAGGAGTCGCCAGTCAGATGCAGAAGCAGCAGCATGGAGAGAACATAGATGAGGTAAACAGCCTCAGGGCAGCACATAGATTAATAGAAACGGGTTAATTTAAGTTGCAACATCTTGTTAGTAACAAGCATAAGCTATCAGCCAAGGATTTATAATTATTAAGTCTCTGTGTGGTTATTTGGGAGCAGCTGGTGGGACTCCGCATACAGAGCTCTTCTTTAGGACTCCCTGAGTCTGTTCTTTAGAACATTAAATGGAAGTTTTGAAAACTGCTGCACAACAAAGATACAAGCAAGCACGACACACTTGTCACTGATGTGCCAGAACCCCTTTCCAGCTCACATCTGCAGTTACATAGAGAATTCTGACAATTAGCTACAGGGGGCAGAAGTTGGAGTTCTCTGACGTATGAACTGGATTTGGGGTGAGTATAAACTGAAAACGAATGGGAGCTGCTGTTTGGCCTCCCATCAGGGATGCTTCTGAATGACAGTGTCCCAGGAAAATCCAGGTGACACACCTGCCCATACGCTCTGTGTCACAAGAGAAGTGGCTCCAGGCTGGAATGCACTAAGCTCATGAACAGGCTATAAATGGCCTGCCCCTCTTGTTCTGAGATGTGGAAGGAAAATGAAAAAAATAAGTTCTGGATTTCTGAATTAATCTGTGGTGGGCTCCAAGAATTTGTATTTAAAAAGTCAGTGTCCTACCAAATCCTTCAGGCAATTTTAATGACTAAAGTTCATATGTTTTTTATTTAGACTCTATTTCATCACTGCTCACATCGTGTGTGTGTGTGTGTGTGTGTGTGTGTGTGTGTGTGTGTATGTGCACGCGCGCGTGTGTGCACGTGCACTAGCCCACACACGGGTTAGTGCAGGCCAGAGGGCAATGTCAGGTGTCTTCCTCTTGCTCCAAAAAACTTTATGGTTTTGAGACAGGGTCTCTCACTGAACCTGGAGATGGCTGGACAGCACACCCCGGATTCACCAGCACTCAGCACTTGTTTGCAGACACATGCCAGCCTGGCTGGCTTCTATGGAGTGCTGGGGATCAACTCACATCCTCGTTCTTGTACCCCATTGCCTGCTGAGCCACCCCTCAGCCATGACACCTAGTTCTTTTAGACATATATTTTTCATTCACCAATGATAATTTTTACTACATGAAAATTTAAGTACTTACATCTACTACTCAGGAATTCCTAAATTTCTGATTATCTTAAGTATGGCACTCTTGTGGGTTCTTCAAAAGGTATGTGAAGTGGGATCCTAATTCTTATTAATAAAAACCGAGTCAGATATTAGGGTGAAAGCTGAAAGACCAGAGAAGTAGAGCAGCAGCCACCAGAGAGTGCTTACCTCTATGAAATCTCAGACCAAATAGGGGGTGATCCTGTCTCTACGAATCCTCAGACTGAATGGGGCAGATCCTGTCTCCACCCACCTTATATTCCTGTCTCCACCTCCCTAGTGCTGGGATTAAAGGTGTGAGCCTCCAAGTTTTGGGATCAAAGGTGTGAGCCACCACCACCCAGCTCTGTTTCTCTTTTAGACTGGTTCAATCTCCTGTAGCCCAGGGTGGCCTTGAACTCATGATCTTTCTGCTTCCTCCTCCCAAGTGCTGAGATTAAGGGCCACCACTGCCTGGCCTCTACGGTTAACTCATGGCTAGATCTGTGCTCTGATCTCCAGGTAAGCTTTATTTGTCAGAGCACAAACAAAATTTCATACAACAGTTGTGAATGGTAAACAGAGCCATAACCTACAACTGCTTTAACTTACAACCTTCTAAAAGATGCAGGCTTCCTCCAGCACCGTGCATAGTGTAGACTTCCATTTGGTGAGAAATTAACCCACAAAAATAGATTTTGCATAGCACTTTCTTTACCCAAGAGCAAATCAGTTTTTTGGAAATGGGGGTACAATATCCATAAGGTAATCTTCCAACACAAACATGTACATGTCTACACACACACTTTGTTTTATATTTATACTTTATTGGTTCTCTGAAAAGAGAAAGTTAGGAAGGCAAGAACAGGAATGAAGTATGTGCAGAGAGTATTTAATCACCTATTTGTTAGGGCCTATCACTATGCTGGACTACTGTAGATAAAATATTTACCATGAACTGAATAGTACTAGCCACGTTCTAATGACTGGGCCATGACTCTAGAGATAGGAAATATGCTATGAGAATATAAAAGGTAGCATACAACCAAATATTTTCTTTGGGGAGAAAGGAGTGAGATGGGGCTCTTTAAAAGCTTGCTTCCAAGTTGTGATCTTCTTGATTCAGCTTCCTAAGTGCTGGGATTATGAGTGCGTGAGGAAACATCAGTTGACAAAATGCCCCAACTAGAATGGCCCATGGGAAAGCCTAGCTGCATTGTCTTGGTTGATGGTGGATGTGACAGTTCCCAGCTCACTGTGAGAGGTGCCACCCTTGGGCTGGTGGTCCTATGCACAATAAAGCGGGCTGAGCAAGCTATGAGAAGCCAGCCAGGAAGCAGCACTCCTCCATGGCCTCTGCTTCACTTCTTACCTCTAGATTCCTGCCTTCAGTTCCTGCCCTGAATTCCCTGGATGATGGACTATAAAGATGTAAGATGGAATAAACCCTTTTCTCCCCAAGTTGCTTGTAGTCATGGTGGCTGGTCACAGCAACAGACCCTAGCTAGTAGAGCATGCAATGGCAGCTAGGTCTCTTGAACAAAGCACAGCACCTTCTGGGATGCATGCTTGACAAGCATTCTGAAACAGACTCTCAAAGCAGCAGAGTGAGTGATCCAGCAACAGTATCTTCTCACTGGGCAAGAACAGGGTATGGAGACATTTGTTGCAATACAGTTGAAATCCCTGATTAAGGCATTTGTGAATTAGCACTCTGAATATGAAATAAAATGGAATGATGGTTCGAAACACCACCTTCATTCACCTGCAATCAAAATTCATCTTCAGTTTAATAGCAAGCAAGAGAAATAAAGTGCCGTTATAGTTGTATATCATGTTAACAAAATCTGTGTTCAACAGGAAAATCTTTGTGAATTCAATATCAAGGTTTAATGTTATATACCTCAAATTAATTTTTCATAAGTGAGCATAGAAACCTTATGTTACTTTGTCAAACAGCACTGTGGAATAGACTCAGATGTATTTTTAAACTGTTAATTTGTGCATATAAAAGTATTTTAATATATATTTGAATAAAACAGATGTACATGATAAAAATGTCAGACCTCAATCCTGTACTTCTGTGTTCAGTGGTAACCATTAAAATTTCTTCTAGATTAAAAAAACCCAAGTCTATTCATATACAAATATATGAGTATAAATACATACATATGTACACAGAGAAGCAGAAAAAGACAGGCAAAACACACATACTTTTTGTCCACAACGAGGACATACTATATATACTGTTCAACCATCTACTTTTCTGTACGTAGCAACACAACTTGAGTATCACTCTCTACCAGCAGTTTTTCAGCTTTTTCCCCACTTCTTCTTAACCTTTTAACAACATCTAGACAAAACTCCTTAAAGCTTTCTATTTAAACCTTTAACCCCAGCACTTGAGAGGCAGAGACAGGCACATCTCTGTTAGTTCAAGGCCAGCCTGGTCTACATAGCAAGTTCCAGGCTAGCCAGGGATACATGGTAAGATGCTGTCTCAAAAAACAAAACAAAACAAAAAAAACAGAAAGTTTTCTACTGATTCAGAGTTAACATAAACTTTAACAAAGAAAGCTAGTTGATACCAGATTGGATGACTACACTTTTTTACAAAAGGCAGTAAGTATGCAATAAGCATAAATGCAAATTAAATACTAATTGTGGTTCTTAAGTACACAACACCCAAACAGTTCATGAATTGTTGGCATATTTTACTGTTCATTTGTTGCTAAATAATATTTTCACGTGTGTGTGTGTGTGTGTGTGTGTGTGTGTGTGTGTGTGTGTGTGTGTGTGTTCATGTGTGTGGGTGAACATGTGCAGGCCAAATGTCAACCTTGAGTACTGTTCCTCAGGAGCACTGTTCCTTGTTTTTAAAAGAGTCTCTCTCCTTGTGACCTAGGGCTTGCAAATTAGGCTAGTCTAGCTGGTCAAGCTAGTCCCAGGGACTCTCCTGTCTCAACTTTCCCAGTTCTAAAACTGCAAGCACATGCCACCACATCTAGCTTTTTACATGGATCCTAGGGATGAAATTCAGGTCCTCAAACTAGTTTAGGACACATTTTACTGATTAAACTATCTCCCCAGATCCTTATTCACAATTTTAAAAGTTCCATATTTTATTCTAAATATGGAGATAATTTATAACAAGTGTAAAAATACAGTATTTTCTGTAACGGTTTAGGATGAAGTTGAAATTTTATTACCATCCATTGCTCTTATGTAAAGATCGTATTCAAATGCTCTCATGTATAACAAGTAGTGATTTCCTAAAAAAGATTTTCAAATATTCATCAAGTTGAGAACATCTTTTAGAGTTAAACAAAACCGAACCAGTCAGTTGTCAGATTTCCTACATGAGAGGAATCAATTGTCCTCGTGAGAGTGCTCTTCTGAGTGAATTTTCATATGTTTGGTAAGAGAAGCATTTTGTTTGAAGGCTTTCCCACATTCATCACATTCATAGGGTTTCTCTCCAGTGTGGGATCTCTGATGTATAACAAGTTGGGATTTTGCACTGAAGGCTTTTCCACATTCGTTACACTCAAAGGGTTTCTCCCCTGTGTGAGTCCTCTGATGTACGATGAGGTGGGACTTTTGACTGAAGGCTTTCCCACATTCAGCACATTCATAGGGTTTCTCCCCGGTATGAACCCTCTGGTGTTGAGTGAGGCCTTCAATTTGCTTAAAGGCTTTACCACACTGATTACATTCAAAGGGACAATCACCTGTATGAGTCCTCAGATGGTAAGTAAGAGATGAACTATGTCCAAAGGCTTTTCCACACTCATTACATTTATAAGGTTTCTCTTTTGTATGAGTTCTTTGATGTATAACCAGGTGTGACTTTTTGCTAAAAGTTTTCCCACATTCATTACATTCAAATGGTTTCTCACCAGTATGAATTCGCATGTGTTTAGTCAGGGATGAACTATACTTAAAAGCTTTGCCACATTCACTACATTCATATGGTATTTCACCTGTGTGCGTTCTCACATGTTCAGTAAGAGATGAATTATATCTAAAGGATTTGCCACATTCCTTACACTCATAAGGCTTCTCACCTGTGTGAGATCTTACATGTTGCATGAGGTTTGAGCTGTGTCTAAAGGTTTTCCCACATTCATTACATTCATAGGGCTTTTCTCCAGTATGAATTCTTAGATGGTCAGTGAGGGCGTGTTTATGGCCATGAGCTTTGCCACACTGAACACACTCATATGGTTTTTCTCCAGTGTGAGTTCTCTGATGTACAACAAGGTGGGACTTTTGGCTAAAAGCTATCCCACACTCATTACATTCATACGGTTTCTCCCCAGTGTGAGTTCTTTGATGGTCAAGGAGTCCTTGTTTATGGCTGAGGACCTTCCCACATTGATTGCATTCATAAGGTTTCCCAGAAGCTGGAGCTTTGTCAGACACAGTAGATGAACCGCTATGGCTGGGTGATTTCTGTTTCTCTCTAGTCTGGATTTTGTCTTCTTTCGTGTTGGGGGAGCTACGATGGCACACTTTCTCATACCTCTTGCCAGCTGGATTTCGGTCACCTTTACCAGGTGACTTACTGTTGGGTGTTTTCTCACATTTCTTTCTAGCTGGAATCTTAGCTTTCTTTGTTTCAGATATGGTAGGGCTGGATGATTTCCTGTGCTCTTTAGCTTTATCAGGTTTCTTTTTTGTAGCGTTTTCAATCTGACCAGGGAAGTCTAAAGTCTGCTTCAAGTTCTTCCCATGTGAGGCAGGTTTCGGAAGCCTTTTTTTGGAAGGAACATGTTTTTTACTGACACCTTTTGTCTCCAATGAAGCACACTCACTGCTTTTCTTACCAGTTGAACTTTTCTTCTTGAACGTGGCTTCCTTAATGAGTTTGCCTTGAGATTTCTGCTTTTCCTCTATCTGCTCATCATCGTGCTGGACTTCTAAAACAGAATTTAATGAGACATTCTTGTAAATTTTTGCACTCCCACTGAAATTCTTTGTAAGTTTCATAAAGAGATGCCCTGTTTGAATAAGTATTCAACCCTAACATGCCAATGGGAAACAAGCACCAAGAATGAATGTCCCTATCTGCTTGAGGGAGAGAAAGCTGCAGGAAAACCAGGGGGAAGAAGACTGATAGTAGTCATTAGGATAAAATTTTTTGTTGTTGCTGTTTTTGTTTTTCGAGACAGGGTTTCTCTGTGTAGTTTTGCGCCTTTCCTGGAACTCGCTTTGTAGACCAGCCTGGCCTCAAACTCACAGAGATCTGCCTGCCTCTGCCTCCTGAGTGCTGGGATTAAAGTACAAAATTTGCCTGCTTAGAAATAGGATCTTAGCTGGGCAGTGGTGGCGCATGCCTTTAATCCCAGCACTTGGGAGGCAGAAGCAGGCGGGGTCTATGTGAGTTTGAGGCCAGCCTGGTCTACAGAGTGAGTTCCAGGACAGCCAGGGCTGTTACACAAGAAACCCTGTCTTGAAAAAAAAAAGCAGCAGCAAGAAATCGGGTCTTGTAACCTGGGATAGAGGTGAAATAGACATGGGAGCTCTGAACAAGGGATGCATTAAGTTGAAAGATGCCAGTGCCAGGTGGGGTGGCACATGCCTATTAATCCCAGTACTCAGGAAGCTGAAACTGGAGGGGTTTCATAAGGTTGGGGTCAGCCTGGGCCACACAGCAAGGCATTACTAGTCTCCCCCTTGTGGTTAAATTTAAGATGACATAATGCAAGTACTATGAAAGCCACACTTATCCTATGAAATAAAGAGCTCTTTGATACAAAGAATGAAGCTTTCACACACAGAAAGAAGTAGAAATGTATGACTATTTGTCTTCAAGAACACAGTGTGCATAATTTCAATTCCTGTGACCTCCAAGTTGCCAATTCTTGTTTCCAGTGGAGTCTGGCTAAAGTCTCTGCCTTTAGGTTATAAGAGATACACTCATGGCTCTTCAATAAATCCCTCTATTTACTAAGGCTAGCTAAAATAAACTAAAATGGAGAATATGTCTGCCAAGGAGAACTGAGGAACTAGTAGACGACTGAGACAATTAGCCGGGAAGGATGGCCCACTGTTCCCATCCATAAGCCATGTAACAAGGACATCATTACTAAACAGCCAACAGCTCCATTCTAATGGATGTTTCCTGTTCTGACTGCCTAGTCCCAAAAAACCAACTCAGAGGCTGAATATGAATTATAAATGCCCATCCAATAGCTCAGGCTTGTTACTAGCTAACTCTACACTTAAATTAACCATATTTCTATTTATGCTTTGCCACATGGCTCATGGCTTGTTACCTCATTTTTTACATGTCCTGCTTGCTTGGAAGCTGGCTGGCTGGCATCTCTGACTTCACTCTCCTGCTTCCCATCATTCTCAGTTTGGCTTTCCTACCTAACTTCCTGCCCAGCTACTGGCCTATCAGCTTTTTAATAACCAATGAGAGTAATATGTGGTGGTATTGTGTTCCCCAAAATATTGTGCACTCTAATAAACTTATCTGGGGTCAGAGACAGAACAGCCACAATATTAAACATAGTGGTTAGGTAGTGGTAGCACACGCCTTTAATCCTAGCATTCCAGAGGCAGAGATCTACCTGGATCTCTGTGAGTTCAAGGATACAGCCAAGCATGGTGACTCACGCCTTTAATCCCAGAAAGTGAGCCTTTAATTCCAGGGAGTGATGGCAGAAAGCAGAAAGGTATATAAGGCGTGAAGACCAGAAACTAGAAGCATTTGGCTGGTTAAGCTTTTAGGCTTCTAGCAGCCGTTCAGCTGAGATCCATTCGGATATGAGGACTCAGAGGCTTTCAGTCTGAGGAAACAGGATCAGCTGAGGAACTGGCACGGTGAGGAAGCTGTGGCTTGTTCTGCTTCTCTGATCTTCCAGCATTCACCCCAATACCTGGCTTGGGTTTGTTTTTATTAATAAGACCATTTAAGCTTCGTGCTACAGTAATATGTATTCATTCATACACCCACCATTTTTCAGGTTTGCTTTTGAGAACATACCTTTGGTTCCTGTCTTCACTCTAACAGCCAATTATCAATTTAAAATTTATTTCCAAGTCTAAGTAGTTGCTTACATTCTTTCTCCTGCATATTCCACAATTATGTTTAGAGAAATCTTCTTAAACAGTGCTCCTCTTCTCTAAGACTACCCCCCCCCCCCACAGACACTTTAAGACCACCCCCACACACTGGCTCTCTGCATAGAAATGGAACAGGGAAATCATCAGAAGTAAGAATTTTAAACATTTAAAGAGGAAAACATATGAAAGAGTGAATCGTCATCTCAGTGATAAAGGAGTTTTACGTGAAGAAAATAAGAATATCTGAACCAATGGCTGAAATTCTCTCTTTTATGGAGGGCATTTAAGAGACTTGCTTTCTGGTGGGGTGTGGTGGCACACACCTATACTCCAAGCACTCATGAGACAGAGGCAGGTGGATCTCTGTGAGTTCCAGGCCAGTCAGGCCTACATAATAGAGACCCATCTCAAGAGACAGAGACAGAGACAAGTTTGGTGGAAGTCAGACACAGTAGGGAGCCCAGAGAAGCTGAACTGATGGCTGCTTTTTCATCCAGGGACTCTGAAGAGTCAGCACCCTGGGGTAAAGACATAAACAGGACCCTCCAGGTAGCATGCCAAGTCTTCGGGAAGACAGAGACAAATTTCCTTCTTGAAAGAAAGTGATCAAGACTTACACCTATCCACTTGACATGTAACATTAAAACAAATTCTACCTGTGTGTGTGCATGTTCATTTGTGTATGTGTACACAGACATGTGTGCCCGTGCATGTGGAAGTCAGTTTGACATCAAGCTATTCCTGGATTATTTTCTTTTCATCTTATTTGTTTGTTTGTTTGTTTGTTTGTTTGTTTGTTTATTTTTTATTTATTTTTGCAGCAAGGTCTCTCACTGAACCTGGAGCTCACCAATTGGTTAGATAAGCTGGCCAGTGAGTTCCAGGCCTTCTGTCTCCACCTCCTTGGTGCTGGGATTACAGGTGTGTACTGCCAAGCACAGCTTTTTACATGAGGGTTGAGGATCTGAACTCAAGTGTTTCTGCTTGTGTGGGCAGCACTTTACAAACAAAGCTATCTCCCTAGCCCCGTAACATACTTGTTACAGTGATGGACTGAGCTGTCACACTGACATCCACTCCCCCAAAGAGAAAGCATGAAGACAATGCAGATTACAGTCCTGGTATGGAATAAGATCATACTCAGGCAGATTTGGGTGTGATAGAGTAATTCATTACAGCTGAGATCATTTTCTCTTTCCTTCCTTCCTTCCTTCCTTCCTTCCTTCCTTCCTTCCTTCCTTCCTTCCTTCTTTCCTTCTTTCTTTCTTTTCTTTCTTTCTTTCTTTCTTTCTTTCTTTCTTTCTTTCTTTCTTTCTTTCTTTCTTTTTCTTTTTCGGTTTTTCAAAACAGGGCTTCTTTGTGTAACCCTGGCTGACCTGGAACTCACTCTGTAGACCAGGCTGGTCTCTTTCTCATATAGATCTGCCTGCCTCTGCCTCCTAAGCACTGAGATTAAAGGCATGCACCACCCAGCAAAAATCATTTTCTTAATTTGAGACAGCAACAGAACCTGAATTTTAAGAGAAATCAAATGTATCTTCAGAAACTTAAGCATGGAGCTCACTAGTCCCAGCAAATATGTAATGTTTATCAGCAGCATATAAGATGAATTTTAAAAAAGTGAACTCATTAAATCTTCCTGAGAACTGGACTCAGGGATAAGATGAACATGACTTGTGTAATAGCAGTGACAGCTAAGAAAAAGACAAATGGGACTTGACAAGAGGATCATGGAACCCAGGGCTAAAGTCAGAGGACAAAAACAGAGAAGGGGGGGGGGGTGCTCAACTAATGAAGATGGAACTCCCTGTTGGACTCCTAAGGAAAGACTTCCCTACAAGCAGCTCCTTGGACAGAGGCCTTGGAGATGTCCATTGAGAAGATGCCAATGTAGAAAATGAGCTCGTATTTACACATGTGTGTCTGTTTAAAAGCAATGCAATAGAGGAACAGAACACACACAGACATGACCTTAAGGGACCATCAGCAGTAAAGGAAGCTTGTGACAAGACAAGAATTTAAGGTTAATCAAAGCTATTAACATATGCACTAGAGGGTGTGCAGGTTGACTGTATCAATCATATTAGTTACTTTCCTATTGCTGTGATTAAAACACCATGACCAAGGCAACAGGTCAGTTTTAGAGAGATAAGAGACTGTCATGGAGGGAGATACGGCAGGAAGGGACAGGCATGGAGCAAGAAGGTGAGAGCTCACATCTTGAACTGCAAGCAGGAAACAGGCCACACCTCCTAATTCTCCCCAAACAGCACCACCAACTGGGAACCTAGCATTCAAATGCCGGAGACTATGGGGGACAGCTCATTCAAATCATCATAGGGATTAAGGACTAATGGACAGATGCGATGATGTCTTATAGAACACAGGTACAGGGAGTTTTGTAGTTAAAGGAAGGACACAAAACTATTAGGAGCAGGGGCATCATTTCCAGAGACGCAGAAAGAAAACTGATCTAAGAATGTCTGAATTCATCAGGAGAAAATGTAATACATTAGGAAATTGGTGTGTGGGTAGAGGGCAGGAAGAAAATTGAGGCTATAAAGAGACAATTCCTTTTTAAATACGGTAATCAGGAATGAGATTGAGAGGATAGTTCAAGAATCTTCTGGAAGCTAAGCAATGGGCACATGGACAGGCAGAGAGACTAAGTAAAGGAGTCAGTTACTGCAGACTCAGAGCCCTGCCTTTCAGCTTTTCCCCCCATCACAGTCAGAACAGCAACAGATTGTACATTGCTCTTTATGGAAGATCATGCCCCTGCGACTCTCCAGCAGCACGGCCATTTGGGTTGCAGCAGCTCTCCTGTGGAGAGGTTATGCATGCCTACCCCTCTGAACCAGGTGCCTTGTTCTAGCCATTCAAATCATCATAGGGATTTATCAGCAGCATATAAGATGAATTTTAAAAAAGTGAACTCATTAAATCTTCCTGAGAACTGGACTCAGGGATAAGATGAACCTGACTTGTGTAATAGCAGTGACAGCTAAGAAAAAGACAAATGGGACTTGACAAGAGGATCATGGAACCCATGAGCTGAAATGGAGAGCGACCACATCCACGCAGTGATTTTAGGAGTTATTCAGTGGCCTCCACTCACTCATTTTTTTTTTTCTTTTCCATAAAGTAAGAGCTTGTCATAAGCCTCTCATGTGCACAAGTTCACAGAAAGAGAAGATATTAGAATCTCCAAAGTAAGAAAATATCTGTAGTTTGAATTCTTTTTCTCCTGAGAGATTCTGGTACTTTTCTACTATTTACTGGTTAAGAAAAGAGAATCTGGGACTTTTAAGAAAAAAATGTTTTTTTCATATAGAGGATTAGATCTAGATCCTTGCACATGTGAGTAAGCACTCTCTCTACTGAGCTGTATCCCCAGCCCTAATAAAAACTTACAAAGTATTCTTTGAAGAATTCCAAAGTCAGCTCCCAGAAACTAAAAACTTACTTGCATTGGCTCCTGCTTTCTTGGGTTGTGCTGTTTTTGTTCACACTACTTGGGTTGGTTGTTCTCACGTCTTCCAGTGATCGCTCTTTTTTCCAACTTAGAGATCATGCCTTGTTTGGGATCTTGACTTCCTACTCGTAAGAAATGGTAGAAAGTGAGTGTTGGACCAACCGTCTTAGAAATCAAGCCCTGATGTTTGCACTCAAGGGCCTTTCAAGGCTAATGAACATATATGGCTTCTAACATTTCACAATACCCATGTACCTCAACTGAGTATAGACCTTCCCTTTGGAAGGCAATGGCACAGGTGTCCTTCCTAATACCAAAAAGGACTGAAACTCCCTGACTTACCACCACCAGCACCAGCACCAGCACCAGCACCAGCACCAGCACCACCAGCACCAGCACCACCAGCACCAGCACCACCAGCACCAGCACCAGCACCACCACCAGTACCAGCACCACCAGCACCAGCACCACCAGCACCACCAGCACCAGCACCAGCACCACCAGCACCACCACCACCAGCACCACCACCACCAGCACCAGCAGCAGCACCACCACCACCACCAGCACCACCACCAGCACCAGCAGCACTAGCAGCAGCAACAACAAAACGCATCAGAGACCTGAGGCAGACGGGATTGCAGAGAGCACGTTCTGAGTGGTGGGGATCGTCCTTACCCATTGAGGCTGGACTGCTACAGTTCTCTGGCATCATTTCATTGCACAAGTTCCTCTGCGCAGATTCCAGGGGCTCCCATTCCTTCTGAGTAAAAGCCACAGACACATCTTTGAGTGTTACTGATTCCTATCATACTCCTATTCAGTCTAGTATTTCTTAATTCTCTACATTCAGGAGTGATCTAATTAACAGAATTTGTTTTTACCTCAACTATCCACTATTGACCACCATGTACATTTCAACAATGTAGGCGGAGTTTTCCTGTCCCGGCAACCATTTCCAAAATCATGCTTGCCCAACATTAAAGATAATTCCTCACCCTCACAGATCAGCAATATGTGACTCTGATATGTCACTAATCTCTACCTCACAGGCTTCCAGTCTGTACTCTCAATAACCCCCAACACTAATTGCCACTGCCCTCCAAATCTCCAAATCAGTACAGCCCTCCTTAATCTTTTGAGTGTCATCAAACTCCAGCTCTAACCTCTCCTCATCTGTTCACTTTAAATAAAATCCACCCATCTCCCAAGGATCCTGCTTCCCTGCAGTGATCTCAAGCAGAGGCTACCTTTAATTTTTCTCCATGGTTTATGTACCTTAGGCTCTAATGATGGACAGAACTGATTGCTTCATCCATTTCTTAACCACTTTCACTGGCTCCAATTTGTTTACAGACTCACCAGCTTTTAATACATTAACCTTATATGGCTCAGTGATTCAATAGGAAGAGTGATAAGATTCAGCATGTAACTATAGCCATGGCCATGGTTCATTATAGCTAAAGGACACAGGGCACATCAGTGAATCATTAGGGGATGAGTTCAGGTTGAAAATGAACACAGCATCCAAGAATCCTTTCCAAGTAGAGTCACATAGAACATGCTTGTTTCCTCCAGACACAAGTTTTGGCAACACATGTGAAATGTGTTGGAAAGTTCCAGCAAAGATCCAAAGACACTCAGTGTTCAAGGAGCTTGCTAGGAACTTGGTTATACAGACAGCATCTTCTGGCATATACAAAAATCCTACACTCCAGGTCCTAAAGGCAAAAATCTAGCTCTCAATCCCATTGTCCATATTAATTCACCAATACATCCTATTAGCTTATATCCCGATGTACTCTGAATATGATTTCATTTTTTCAGTGTAAGTCCAAATTGTCTCCATAATCTCTTGCCTTTGATTGCTGCAATAAACCTCTGACCTTCTGATACCTACTGTAGCTGCTAAGCTCATTTTCCATAGAGTAGCTATGATGATCTTTTTGATGTATCAATCAGATCAAATTCCTTTCTTGCTTAAATCCAGTGGTTTCTCTTTGAAATTAGAATAAAATCCAAATCCACACTAGCCAGTATGATCTTACATGATCTAATACCTTCTTTCATGTTTTTCTACTTTTCCTGTATATGTATGTCTGTGTATGTGTGTGTGTTCCAACCACATTAATCTTCCTTCTTTTTCTTTTTTTTTTTTTTTAGTATAAAAGAACTTAATTCCTATCTCCAGGCTTTAGCAATTGGCATTCTTTCTTTTTTGAACACTCTTTGGATCCATGCATTAGCCACAGCCCGTCATGATTTGTGTTCAAATCAACTATCATTTCTTCAAAAGATTAACTCAAAAAACTCTCATTCCTGATCTACCACATTGTCCTCTCTTACTTTCTTCATAGCAGTTACTATTGCCTGGAAACTATATTACTTACACCATAAACATTCTTGTTGTTTCCTTCCTGTTTCTAGAATTTAAGACATTAAAAGACAGGCTGACTCTGTGTGTTGCTACTTAAGACATTCTCTGACATAAAATAGATGCTCATCTTACAGTCTGTTCTACAGTTTTCTATCCATTGACACCCAAATATTCCTCAGTCACACACCTCCTCTACATAGAAGTTCCCAATTACCATTCTTCACAGAACAATCGATAACCTCCATTGAACTCCAGTTAGTGACCTCATTAAGCCCAGCCACCTCATAAAATCTTGACCTCAGGATCCTAATCACAGAATCATAAAGGACTTTTAATAATTATTAATAATTCCTACCAAGAACCCCATCGCTAATGAGACAGGACTCTTGGTACCTTTTCTCCCCAGATGACAAACCTTTATCCCCATAGGCACGTCAATATGCCACTGCTCATATTCCACCAACTATCATCCTCCCCTTAGCTTCCAGGCTCCCAAATACCCATCATAGCACACAAAACACTGACTCTGAAAGACACTGCTGATCGGACCACCATCCCCGACCCCAAGGCCCCAACCTCTGAACCCCACATACTCCAAAAGGCCCAATTCTCCAAATCTCAACACTGCCCCTCTGACAGTCCACAGCCTGTAGTCCTCAGTTACCTGTAATGACTGTTCCCATACAGTCTCAATACTAATCCTTTTATAGGGCTTCCCCATCTCAGATACATCACAAAGCCCCCATTTCTGATCTTGCTAGCTTTCCAGACCCAGACTCAAGCGCTGTCAGTGACAGTTACAGACGCCTCCCCGCCCCCAAGCATCACTAGGCAGATCCGTCAAAACACCGATTTCTTAAAATAATAGCAATCCCCGACTAATGCTTCTAATACCACGGGTTTTATACCCATATACCTAATACTCTATGTGACCATAATACCCTAATACTTAGATCCCTCAGAACACCGGTCTCCCAAAAGATTATTCAACATCGACGCCACAAATTCTCAAACCTTGTTTTCAGACTCCAGTCACCCTCCAATCACTGACCACCAAACCGCCCCCAGACCCTTACGGCCCTCACCGCATCGCTGTCCGCGGGCTCAGACGCAGCCATGTCCCTCGGACGCCTGGCTTTGTCGGCTGTTCCTGCACTCCTCCGGTCCACCGCCTCTGGCTTTGTCAGGACCTGGTTGGAGTCAGAGGCCGACATGGCGGCCACCCCAAGAGCCGCTTCAGAGGGTCCCGCGGCTTCGATGGCGGCGCCCTGCGGAGATTTCTCATGGGTGCGGCCATCTTGGCATGGACTCTGCCGTACAGCTGAGGCGCGGGCGCCTCTGGGATCACTGTCCAGGCAGGGCGGGCTACTGGTTATTCCAGGGTCCCAGAGGTGGGAGATGTCCCAGGCAGGAAGTACGTGGGGGAAGCTGCTGCGAGACAGGAGCCCCAGAATTGGAACCCCGGAGGCACAGGGAGGTTTCATCTCGGGAGTTCTGTTACAGAACTTGGAATTGCTTTTCCAAAGGGGTTTGCAACTGCAGTTGCTGGGGAAAACCCGGGAAGCAGGATGACGGATCCCGCAGGGAAAGAAACAAGAAAAGCCAGTCTTGACTAGTAACACTGATTTATAGCTGAGACATAGGATACGTTCTTTGGATTGCTGTAACAATGGAGAAAGTCAAGGGGCGTGGTGGGGGGGCGGTCAGTTAGTGAACTCATCACTTCTGAAGAGAGCCCAGCTTTGGTGGAGACATTTCACCAGACTCGCACAGCTGTTAAAATGACTTCTCAGTGCACCACTTAACGTATTCATTGCGGTCACTCAACAGTTTTTGTGTAGAGTTTCAGTCCGTAAATATGTTCGATCAGGGTGCTTGGCTCTGTTGGTACTGGGCAAAGAACAAGATTGTACACAGCCTTTATTCCCCGGCTTAAATTTGCGGTGGGGCAGACGTGATGAGATTATTGCAAACACATCGTTTCTCTTTACTGAACTCAAACAGGCCTGTTTGAGTTGGAGGTGGAAGAGTGTGGTGACTCCGCCTGCAATCCCAGTCCGTAGGAGGCCGAGGTCCACAGTCTTCTCAAGACTAGCCTGCTCTATAGAGGGAACTTGGGGTTAGCCTGGGGTATGCTAAGCACTTGTCTCTAAAGGCCAACATAGAATAGAGTTTGTTTTTGATGTATTTATTGTGTATGGGCAGAGGGAGAGAAAGAGAGAGCTTTGTGGAGGTCAGAGGACAAATCTCTAGAGTCAGTTTCAGATTGGGATCTCATTCAGTTCTTCAAACTTGACCACCACAATGGTCTCTACACTCTGCGCCTTCTCAGAGGACTAAAAACTAAAGATGCTGCCATCTTTCCTGGCATTCCCTTCTGAAGACAGAACCTAGGGCCTTGCTTACTAGGCAAGTGCTCTATACTAAGCTAAATCCAAAGCCCAAATTAAAGTAAATAAATAAATCCCTGTTTTGTGCCTTCGCCTTGAAGGAGTAAGGGAACTGTCCGCCTGTCAGCACTGGTTTCGTCCTCTTGTTCTTGGGCCTCTTCTTCACCAAGAAGACTGCTCGGACATGGATTTAAGTCAATAGGAAGTCTCCATTTCCCCGGCAGACTTCCACTGCTCGGGTGCAGGTCACACTGCTCAGAATAGGGTGAGTGACCTATAGATGAACTTCCTTGTCGGAACCACCAGCTCACAAATAATGACAAGGAGACATTAATTATGAAACTTGACTTATAGCATAGGCTTGTACCACCAGCTCTGATAACTTAAATTAATCCATATGTAGTGAGTCTTTCTCTGTCCTGCCTGCCAGCTCCCAAATAACCACATGGAGACTTCTTATTAATTATGAAAGATCAGCCGATAGCTTAGGATTGTTTTTAGCTCTTATAACTTAAATTAAACCATACCTTTTAATCAGCGTTTTTTTACATGGCTCAGTTAACTTTACTTTGTGATGCCCATGCTGTTTGTTCTTCATCCAACTGGTGACTCGGCCCTTCTTCCCAGCATTCTCTGTGCCTGGAAATCCTGCCTAGCTATTGGCCATTCGGCTTTTTATTAAATCAATCAGAGTGACATTTCTCAGTGTAAAAAAAAAGATTATTCCATAACACCAATATCTTTTAATCTACATTTTTTTAAAACGTGGCTCAGTTACCTCTCCTCTGTACTGCCCATCCTGCATCCTCTCCCTCTGGCTGGTAACTCTGCCTTTCTTCTTCCCAGAGCTCTCTCTGTCCAGAAGTCCCTGCTATAGCTCCTGCCTAGCTACTGGCCTCTCAGCTTTTTATTAAACAAATAACAGTGACACATCTTCACGAAGTGTAAAGGAATATTCCACATTTCTCCATTTTTGTCAAAATAAAAAGGAAAGGTTTTAATTCTACCATAATAAAACTATAAAAAATGAGAATGATTATCAGGTAAGAATTACATTACATCCCTCTGGAGAAGGAACTCAGACTATAAAATAACTTCAGTAGAAGACTATAACTTCAGCGAGCGGAGTATAGCTCACTTGTGGTAAGTGGTGAGTTAGCAATCATGACACCCTGGGTTCAACCCTCAGCACTCAAAGAACAACAATAAAGGAATGTAACTCAAAGATTAAAAGTATAGTAACCAAGGCTTTTGGTTATAAGCTTGAAACATTTGTAATGAAAGATGAGATTAATATTTAAAAGTGGATTAAAATTGGATCCTCTGGAACAGGAGTTGCAGATGGTTGTGAGCCTCCATGTGGGTGCTGGGAATTAACTCAGGTCCTCGGGAAGAACAGCCTGTTGCTCTAACTGCTGACCCATCTCTCCAAACCCCAATTTGTTATGTATAAAAATTTCAGATTTATTTTATGTGTATAAGTGTTTTGGCTGCATGTATATCTGTTCACCTCGTGCATGACAGGAGGGTGTCAGATATTCCGGAACTGGATTGAGAGATGTTGTGAGCTTTCACATGTGTGCTGGAAATTGAACTCAGATCCTTTGCTAGTGCTCTTAACCTCTGAGCAATCTCTCCAGCCTCAGTTTTTCTATATTTAAAAGGATTATAATGAGTACAAGGTTTGTGATCTATCTCTCCAGCTACTAGCTGCAAACTATACATACCAACATATGTGTGTAATACTTATACACAAAGGGCAAACGCATGCAGAGACTTGAGTCGGCCAGTAGAGGGAAACCCTGCACTTTGCTGCACTTGCCTCCCAGTCTAACAAACCCCTAAGATAAAATCAACCTTTGCCAATTTCTTGAGTGTCCTCAGAGTCCAGATGGCTGCTGGGAAGTGTAGTTAAGATTCTTACTCTGTCATGTGTGGATGAGCCTAGCAGAGCTACCCATTCGTAATTGCAGAGATCACGGCAGGTGGCTGGGTCTGTCCTATAGTCTCCAGAGTGCTAAATCAAGTGGGCCCTTCTTCAGTCCTTACTTGGTTTGTCAGTAAATTTGACCAGTCGCCTCCATGTTTGTATATATCTAGTTAAAATTTTATTGCTTATTGGATGGAATAACTGCATGCAATTGAGCTGAGCATCACAGTTATTTAATACTGAATGTCACACAAATTGGGACTTCTCTGCACAATAAAACGTATTATAAACCAATAAATAGATGTGTGACACTAGATTTATAAATAGTATATTTGAAGATTGGAGATTTTAAAAAAATTACCCATTTCAAGTAAATCTATTCCCTGTAGCCATTCAAAAACTATTTAAATTTCTTTTGAACCTAAATAAAATCAAAGTGGCCACATCAAAACTGAAAGCCAATTCTCTTAGGAAAACCAGTTCTCCAACTCACAATGATGTTTATCAAGTGAATTATGAAGGACAAACCAGGGATCACCATATCATCCGCATAGGCACATATAATAACCTGACTTTTAGCATTTCTTTTGATACTGTTTTTAATTTTTAAGATTTATTTGAGAGAGAGAGAGAGAGAGAGTTCCCCAAGTATGTGCAGGTGCATGCAGAGGCCAGGCAAAGTGTTGAGTTATAGGTGGTTGTGAGTGTCATGATGTGGGGGCTAGGAACTTGAGTTCACTCTGGTCCTCTGGAGCTTCAGGTCACTCTGGTCCTCTGAATCTTCAGTTCACTCTGGTCCTCTGGATCTTCAGGTCACTCTGGTCCTCTGGATCTTCAGGTCACTCTGGTCCTCTGGATCTTCAGGTCACTCTAGTCCTCAGGAACTTCAGTTCACTCTGGTCCTCTGGAAGCATCTCTGGAGACACTCTTAAGCACTGAGGTCTTGCCTTAAGTCCCTTAAGCACTTCTTTAAGCATCTAGTTTTAAGATTTTAACTTTCATGACTAAAATATTTTTAAATTCTGTAATTTTAAACCACTAATTATGCTTCAGGTAAAGAGGAATCAATGTCTACTGTACTATCACTAACATTCAGTTGAACTATATGAAGTGCCAACACAATTCATTTTGATCTATAAAATGATTGACAGTTATATATGAGTCATCTCAATACATTCCAAGGGGAAAGTCCTGAGCATAATTCATAAGGCTATTCACAGCTAGATACATAGAAAAGTCTGAGTATTAAGATAGAAAAGGAAAAGGCAGACAGAAGCAAGACATGTCTACATCACAAAGGTTCGAACCCAGGACCGTCTATGTGTGTGCATTCTCCCACCAACTCTCATTCACCAGCCTCTACTTATATCAGTCAACAGTAGACAAATCACCCTCACAGCCACTTATACAAAGGGACACAGACATCAGGTCGCAGAACTCTGGCCAAAGAGGTTATTTTTATTCTGATTCTCATGTAGAGGTTTGGGTTTTGGTTTCCGTCTGTTCTGCCTTCATTAATAATTACATATTAATAATTCATTAATAACTGCCCTGGTTACTTTTTCATTTTTGTTTTTGTTTCACCTTGACTCAAGTCAGAGTTATTTGGAAAGAGGGAACCTCAAGTCAGAAAATGCCTCTATAAAACTGGCCACTGTCCAGCCTGCGGGCTTTTCTTGATGAACGATTGACTCGGGAAGGCCCAGCTCACTATGGAAACACCACCCTGGGCGGGGCCTCAGTCAAGGAAGAAGGCAGGCTCACAATCCAGAGGACCAAACCCGGAAGCAGCTTTCCTCTGTGGCCTCTGCTTTAGTTCCTGCCTCCAGGTGCCTGAATTGACTTCCTGCCCCCGACTTCCCTTCATGATGGACTACAACCGTTTCCTCCCCAAGCTGCTTTGGTCATGGTGTTTATCACAATAACTCTAAATTTATCTACATAAAGACACAGGAAATTACAATGATATTGACCCTTCACGCTCACTAAACGCCCACTATGTAGTTTCTCTCTAAAAGTCTCTCATTCCAGCCATCTTGGGAGGAGGCTAACATAATCTCTTGCCAGCATGTTCCAGTAGTTTCCTTCATGATCTCCTAGCACAGTGGTTCTCGACCTTCCTAACACTGCCAACCTTTAGTACAATCCTTATGTCGTGGTGACCCCAACCATCAAATTATGTTGTTGCTACTTCATAACTGCAATTTTGCTACTGTGGTGAATTGTAATGTAAATATCTTATATGCAGGATTTCTCATATGCCACCCCTGTGTGGGGTCACTACCCACAGGTTGAGAACTTCTATTAGCACCTTCTTTAGCTGTTAAAGCATGGGCCTTCCTTTTGTTATTTCTTATCAGGATACAGTCAGATGAGGGTTTTTTTAGTGGTTTTTTTTTTTTTCTGTGTGTGTGTGTGTGTGTGTAGCCCAGGCTGGCCTCGAGCTCATGATCCTCCTGCCTCTGCCTCCTTCAGCAAATCCTACCGGCCTGTGCCACCACAACTGGCATTTTTTTTTCCAGATGAACTTTTAAAAGCACACCTCTGACCATGCTCCTGCTGTGCTCTTAAAACTCTTCACTTGCTTCTCATTTATATGAAAACTACCTGTCTGTCACGCTCCTCATGGACCCATATGAGCTTATATGGGATGAACTCTGCTCACCAAAAATACATGCATTGAAAACTTTACCCACAATGCCTGAGAGTGTAATTTCATGTAATTATACTAAAATGAGGTCTTTAGGGTAAACTCTAACATAATATGCCCAGTGTCCTTACTAGAAATGACTAGGATACAGGCTGGAACAGAGGGAATACTTCTTGAAGACATTAGAAGGCAGACGCCTACAATCCAACCAATGAGAAAGACCACAGGAAAAAACAAACTCAGGTGAACACCTTGGTCTCAGAGTAACAGCTTCCAGAAATGAGAAAGTTTAAACTTTTTCCCAACAACATGTTTTTATTAATTTTTTGGGAATTTGTACTAGACCCCATCAGACTCATTCCCCATTTCTCTCAGGTCCACCCTCATGCCCCAACCCCCAAGCCCCTCCAATTGTGTTGCCCATATACTCCCTGGAGCATGGTCAAACCCACAGTGGCCAGCCCCTTAAAGAAAAGCGAGTCCTTCCCACCACACCCACGCCACAAGCCATCGACTGGGAAGAACTACACCTCAGCATCTTTATTACTGTTTTAAGGGCTCTCGTCAATATTTCCTGTCTGAACTGTTCGCTCTTTTTGTTGGGGGGGGGGTTGTTGTCACAGAAGCCTTCAGTGTCTCTCATTCTCAGTGAAGAGTCTGCAGTCAGAGGACAGCAAAGGAAGCTTCCTTGCCATAGTAGCCGGCAGCGGCATAGACTACAGAGGGCAACATGGCCTCCAGTGGCAGCACAGGCCACGGACATCAACCTGGTCCCTCGAGGCAGAACAGACCATGGACATCAACCTGGTCCCTCGGGGCAGCACAGACCATGGACATCAACAAAGCTTGCTGTGGAATTACACATCATGGACACCAACATGGCCTCCAACAGCAGCATGGACCACAGAAGTCTTCTGAGGAGATTAATCCAGAAAACAAACCATTCCTCATCCCAGATATCTTGTTGCTCAGAGGCAGTGTGTCCGGGAGCAGACCTGTGTGAGCTCCAAGCTGTTGTCAATCACCCTGTCCTTGGCGTAGGCACTTCACCCACTCTGTGCTTGTAGCTTGGTTGTGAGGACTGTGGTTAGGTAACAGTCACAGCTGTTACCTGCCTCAGACTCCTCTCACCTGGGAGGTACTGGTCTCTCTGGGGTCCACCCCACCCCCCAATAACTTAACAAAACCACGACACAGTGTTTCTGCTTCAAACAAGACAGATGTTGAGCCGGTGTCGGCACTTTGTACTGTCACTCTGGCTCCTAGGGGACTAAGGAATATTTCTGCCTGGGACACGAATCAAATAAACTGTGTTCCTTGCTACACTTCTTGGTACTGAACACATCTTGGCATCATATAAATGACTTGAGTGTTTTCACAGGCTTTCTGAATGAGCTACTTGTTCATTTAGTTGAGAGTGAGACTGAGGTCAAGGTCATTAAACCTATTTCCTATTAGTAAGTTAGTTTCCGAAATGCTAGCTAGTTAAAAACGGCTGTTGGCTGGTTATGTGGCTGGTGTGGGTCTACAACCTGCAATCCCAGTATTTAGGAGGCTGGAGCAGGAAGATTGCCACAAATCTAAGGCATTTCAGGGCTACACCCTAAGTTCAAGACCAGCCTACATGTGAGGTGCTGGGAAGATGGACCGGTGGGTAAGCACTTGCTGTGCAGGGTTCCAGGAAGGTCAGACCAGGCCCAAAGGACTCACATTAAAAAGATGGTCATGGCAGAATGCACTTTTAACCCCAGCAGTGAGTGGAGAATGGAGACTGGAGGATTGCTGGGACTTGCTGGCCAGCCACCCTCGCTGAAAAACAGCAACCTCCAGATTCAGCGAGAGATACTCTCTCAAGGATACAAGGGAGAAAAGGGTAGAGGGAGATGCCTGCTGTCCTCTTCTGAATTCTGCATATACTAGCATAGGCACAGGTGTGTGCACACACACCCATGTGTCAACACACCATAAACAACAAAAAAGGAAGAGGAGAAATAGAAAACACTGACCCCTAGTCAACCGTTCCCCCGTTCACCATCAAATACTTGTAGATCAGGAGAGAGCTGTAGCCAGACCTCATTTACTCCATCTTGACCCACACCCACAGTTCCGTATTGGAAAGAATCCCATGTGCAGTATCCAGTCCTGCCTGCCAGGCAGACACGTTGAAGGTCTATAGCACTGTTTGCTCCTCTTCCTCTGTTTAACCATCCTCCCTCCTGTTAAAAACACCCTGACCTGTGTAGTGGAGTTAATAAGGACAGAGGCCTCCTGGGTCAGACAGCCTTGGGTTTAAACCTAAGTTTCCCACTGACTGGCTGGATGACCTTGTCCAGTTACTTAATCTTTCTGAGTCTTAAATCACACTGTGGTCAAATGAACAAAATAGTACATACCACATAGAACTGGTGCAAGGTTGAAATAAAATAAAAGTTAAGTACCTGCCTCTTTCTTGAGTTCTGTATTTCCCCACATCAAACACTTTTTTATGTTTCTAGGTCCAGGGTAAGTGAAATTTGTACTGATACAAAGTATGTTCCCATTGTAACTATGTGTCTTTGTAAGCAGACTCTTGGCATAATTCCTGCTTGGAACTTATGACTTTGAAAAATACTGTTTTTCTTTGTTGATGAGATTATATCCACTCTGTTGAAGTCCAAAGGTCTCTCAGGTAAAAACAGCTGATGCAACTTGACTATTAACTTTCAGTTTGCATTCTGGTATCGTTGCTCTCTGAAGAAAGGTTGGGAGGACTTTGGGGATGGAGTCTGTCAGCTAAACCTTGCAAGGACCTTTCTTGATAATCTTTAAAAAAAATTTAAATATTTATTATTTTATATGTGTGTATTTGCATGAGTTTAAATGTACCACATGTGTGCAGGAGGCCACAAGGGCAAAAAGAGGGTGTGATCCCCTGTACCAGAAGTTACACTCAGTTGTGAGCTGCCAATTGGGTGCTGGGAACTGAACTCTGACCTCTACAAGAACCAGTTTCAAGGGACTGACTCATCTTCTGACCTCGATGGCCCCAGGCATGCAGTAGCACACAGACACACACGCAAACCAAATACTCGTGAACACAAGATAAAAATAAATGTTTTCAGAAAATGATTAATACATCTGCTTCCACACTCCACTCGAGTCTCAGAGCAAAAATCCTCTACACACTTGACCTCCCAGTTGAGCTCCATCCTCCCCACAACACCCAGAATTGGCTTCCTGATTCCAAGCCAGATCCAAAGTTCCATCGGGCAGGTTCCATTGGCAGCTCTCTAGGGCATCCACTATTTTCCTGAGAATTTCTTTTGAGAAATATAAGGTTACTAAATCAATCATTAGGAGATCAGTCTGCCAAGTCTGAGAAGGGCAGGAGCAGTCCATGGCCTCACATCAGTAACTGAGAAAACACTCTACAGAGGGTGAGGGAAGGCAGAGAAGATCCAAAAAAAGAAACAAAAACAAAAATCCACTGAACTCAGAAAGTATATAAGGCATTGGGGAGTGGAGGGCAGTCACCATCGGGAAAGACTCAGTCCTGACGAAGAGACGATTCTGTTCCCCACCGAAATGAAGCTGCTGTTGATGCTGCTGCTGCTGGCTTTGGAGCTGACTCTAGTCTGTGTCCACGCAGAAGGAGAAACCAGTCCCATGGGAAAGAACTTTAATCCAAAAAAGGTAGACTCGTGGGGAACAGTGACTTCTGACTCGGTGGGTGCTTCAGGGAACTCTGAAGTCAAGTGGGCCCTTTGAGGGGAACGGTGCAGCTCCTCAATTTATTAGACAAATGACTGGCTTCAGACCCTGAAGTGAGACCCTGAGTTATATGCTATCCATATCTAACAATGCCTGGGGTCCGTCACACACACAGTGAGACAGAGACAGGAGGTTAAGTATTATGCCGACTGATGTGAGATCAAATCCCGTGGATGCTCACGCCCTGGCCCACAGGCCACGGTTAGAGTAGAAACATGTCCATGTGCTGTCCCTGCCCTTCCTGCCTTAACGACCTGCTTATCTATTACAGATTGAGGGGAAATGGTATTCCATTGGCTTGGCCTCTGACAAAAGAGAAATGATAGAAGAAGATGGCAGCATGAGAGTTTTTGTGGAGGACATCCATGTCTTCGGGAACTCTTCCTTAGCTTTTAAATTCCATACTAAGTAAGTGTGGTGTCCTTAGCTGAGAAAGAGGAAATGGATGCCTGGCATGGTCTCTCACACACACACACAAAAAATGTATATATATATACAGAGAAGCATATGCCTCTCACAGGATGTACATGTATACATACACACACATTTGTATGTGTACATATATATATTTACATATTTACACATATACATATGCTCCCATAGCATGTATTTGTACAATCACACACACAAATATATACACAGAGAAACATACACCCCTCACAGCATGTACATGTATATATACATGTATGCACACACACACACATGTATATATATATATATATGGAAACATATGCCCCTCATAGCATGTACATGTACACACACACACACACACACACACACACACACACACACTGAGCCTGTATCCAAAACTAGAGTCCCCCATCTGACACTAAACCAAAATTTCATAACCAGGGCTTTTACAAAAGTCAGAGACAAAAGTTGGTGACAGCAATAAATTCCCTGGGAGTGGGGTAAGTAAAGGTCAGAGATATTTCTGAAACCATAATTAATGAGATGGGATAGCACAGCTTTAAAGTATATGATCTTGAGTTAAATTCTTCTTAATAGTTGTTAGTCAAAAATATCTGCCTCTTCAACTCATATTCTCCTGCAGTAAAGGTGAGTAATAATTTTCCTCTGTGGGTTTGGGGGACACATCGGGAAACATTCGCAAAGCACTAATTTGATGCGTGGTTGACGTCTGGCTGATAATCTGCATAAGTGGCAGTGAAGCTGGGAAGAAGTCACATTGTAACAGTGATGCGAAGTGATTGTCATTCTTTCTTTAAATGGTAGGCAAGTGGGATTACTAAAGTATAAGATGTAAGTGAAATAACACAAATAAAAGTCTTTTGTTAATTTTACAAAATATTCGAATGTTAAATGGAATCAGAACCTGGAGATAGGGTGGAGCAGACTGAGAAAGCCAGCCCTATCAATATCCTTAAGCACCAGCTCACCTTGTTTTACAGAATAAATGGAGAGTGCACCGGGCTGTATTTAGTTTGTGATGAAACAGAAAAGGATGGTGAATATTTTGTTGAATGTAAGTATAGAAAGAATCTATGTATCTATCCATAAGGAATTTAGTAAACCCTAATATCTTTATCGTGTGTGTGTGTGTGTGTGTGTGTGTGTGTGTGTGTGTGTGTGTGTGTGTGTATTCTCAAGTGCTCACACATTGCTGGGGATTGAACTCAGGGCCTTGTACATACTAGTCAGCTTCTCTACTTCTGAACCACATCCAAACCCTCCTCAGAATCTCAGTTGCTTCCTGATCATTGTTTACTTAGCTAATTCAACCGGGGTATCTATAGCTAGCATCCTGCAACAGGCAGGTGGAACCAGATGGCTTCTCATCTCCTGCCATCTGTCTGATTCTGCCCCAGTGACCGCCACCCGTGCGCATTGCATAGGACGCAGCAGCAGGTACTTGACACAGCGAGCTTATGAAAGACAGAGACCTGTCACTGGAAGCTGCTGAGGGAGGTAGACAGGCCGCAGAGAGGACAGCAGAGGGTGAGCAGCTGCTGGGGCTAACTGTTCACTAGAGCTTGATCTGTCAGTGTCCTTCTCCTAGAAGTTACTTCATGAAGTCCAAAGAGGGACAGGTGGAAAGCATCAGACATATTCACCTATATCTTCCAGAACATGCATTTTAATTTGTTTATATGCGGGGAAGAACAGGTAAAAGGATCCCATTGTTTCCTGAGGACCAAAGAATGTCTGAGCTGTGTTTCATTTCTTCCACAGATGATGGATACAATAAATTTACTATTCTTGGTACAGACTATGATGGTTATATTATATTTCATCTCAGAAATGTCAACAATGGGGAAACATTCCAGCTGATGGAGCTCTATGGTAGAGTATTTCACACAGACACTGATCTTGGGCTGGGCAAAGGAAAAGAAAGACACCGTAGCTCTGACGTGGTCTTTCCAGCCTGGCCCTGAACTGCCTCTTTCTTACCTCCTCAAGACAGATGCTCACCTCTGTCATCCCTCAGGCTCAGTGGTGGGAGGACTCTGAAGTCTCTCAGTGCTCCAGGAAAGATACTCTATGGATGTCAAATTCAGGACAGGTCATATCCATGCCTGTCAATCACGTTGTCAATCATTTTCTCATCCTTCTGGAGGAGCCCTGTCCCATCATTCAGCTCAGTGAATGTGGTCAATACACAAGATGCAGTCATTACTGTCACCCTTATTTTTTCACAGGCCGGAAACAAGACTTGAGTTCCAAAATCAAGGAAAAGTTTGTGGAGCTCTGCAAGAAGCATGGCATTGTTGAGGAAAACATATTGGACCTAACTGAGGCCGGTAAGTCAGAACTCATCTATTTTTCTCCTCCTGAATGTTATATCCTTGAAGGGACAAACCCAAGGGATAGTCAACCAAACATGTGTTGCAGTTGGAGAAACATCTGGTTTCTCTTGGGGAAATAAAGTGGACCTGGTACCTGAACGTGTTCTTGTTCCCACCCTGCAGATCGCTGTCTCCAGGCCCGAGATGGAGGAAAGGCCTGAGTTTCCGGGTAGGTAATCTCCAGTGAGAGCGAAGAGGGTGTTGGCAGGGACTAGTCCCTTGCAAAAGCATTAGTATTGTGCCCCCAAATTACAATAAAAATAATTTGATAAGGAACTTTTGAGGAGAGCTTGAAATTTGGCTTCAAATTATCTGATTTGTGATTTAGTCTTACCATGAGCTTTTAAGTAAGTGACCCAAGCAATTAAGCAAGAAAACAAGGACATGTACTTTACATAGTTGCTGTACGGTTGTGAAAAAAGGGCTCAGCAATGCATTCAGTGTCATTAAGAATGTGAATATAGATGCTCGTCAGTGTCTGTGGTCTACCTCCCTCCCATTCCTGAGATAATGTCTTCCTTTGAATCTGTACAGCCTTGGCTTCCTACCTGGGAATGGAACTGCCTGATCTGCACTTCCCCAGTCTGGAGAGCACACTGAGTTCCCTCATCTGTCCTCTTTCCCACTTATTCCAAGACTTCTCTCTAATAACATGTGGAAGTCCTTAAAAGTAGCCAAGGCTTTTATCATTATTCCTCAATTTACTGAAAATTCTTCAGAGCTTTGTAGTAAATGTTTCTCTGTTCCACCAGCCAGCTCCCAAATAATGACATTGAGACTTATTATTAATTATGAAATCTTGGCCTATAGCTTAGGCTTGTTCCTAACCAGCTCTTATAACTTAATTTAACTCATTTATATTAAATCTACATTCACATAGTGTTACATCTCTTCCATCCTGCACCTCCTATTTCCTCTCCATGTCCTCTGGCTGGAGACTGCTGCTTCTTCTTCCCAGGATTCTCTCTCTCTCTCTGCCTGGTAATCTCACTTAAATCTCCTGCCTTGTTACTGGCCATTCATCTCTTTATTAAACCAATCACAATGACATATCTTCACACAGTATACAAATATCCCACAACAGAGCTTCTTATGCCAAATACAATGGGAACAAACCTCAGATCTTTCATTACTTCCTTTTATTTTTCATAAGGCATCAATGAGGAAAAAGTCATTTATTCTATGCCTTTCATTCTGGTATTCTGATAAGTACCATCAGTTAGAAGGCATGGGAAGGTCTGTTTCTTCACCCTTTGCTCTATGTGATAGAATGGCTCTATGTCCTGCAGTCAACCCAAGCAGTGCTTAATGACTTTCTGTATTCTTTCTTCTTGGCTTACTCAGTGTCGAGTGGGGACTCCTCACCTGGACCTCAGCATCATCCCTCCCCGTCCACACACCGTCCTGTGACAAGTTCTGTGATCTGATTCCCATCGCTGACACCCAGGAAAGCTTAGTCCCTGCATCCCCAGAATCTTCCCTGATTACCTAGGAGGACTCATGGAGAATCAAAGGCTTTCTTTTAAATTTCTCTTTGCTACACCCACAACTCTCCATGGATGTCCTCCTCCTCTCCCTGTTCAATAAATAATTACCCTTGCAGTTACGTATATGTCTCTGTGTCCAAGAAAATGTAGGATTGTCAGTGAGTGAATGAGGGGACCTCCTGGATCCTGTACCAAGATCCTTCCTCATGTTGCAGAATCTAACCTGACTTTCAGGATTTTACTTCCTTTGCAATAATCTCAGGCCCAGTGAGTGCTGCCTGCTCTTCGGGTCTCCTGTTTCAGTGGCCTCATAAGGACCATAGGAACACAGATGTGCTGCACACTTTCCATCCATAGAGTCTCATAAATTCCATAGGAACACAGACGTGCTGCACATTTTCCATCCATAGAGTCTCATAAATTCCATAGGAACACAGACGTCTGCACACTTTCCATCCATAGAGTCTCTTTTGCAACAGAGCATGGAGAGACACATCCTTCTGAGGTTATGCCTGCTCAACATGGACATGACCCATGGGAAAAAGAATGGTTTGGTCACTAGAGGCACAAAGGCTAAATCAAAAAGGCCCCCTACCTCCCCATAGCCTGCTCTGACCCCTAGATCAAGAGATTAAGTTAGGTTCAAGCTCATGGCTCCTGATCAAGTTCTTGGTGTGCTTTGATAAAATATGGTAAAACACTATTGAGAAAACCAAACAATTACGCTGGAACCCCCCTCACTCCTCCCACACCACCGCCCTGATGGACTCTTACTATGTTTCTAGACTGGCCTGAAATTCCTGAGTCCAAGTCATTCTCCAGCCACAGGCTCCTAAGGGGCTGCAACTACATCCATTTACTGCCATGCCCAGCTTTTCATTTTTAATCTTGACATATAAGAGACAAAAATATCTGTTCACAACCTAAGCCATCCTCGAGAATACTTAGAAAATAACAGTTGTACTCCTGACTTTCTTGATGATAGGAAATGGTTTGACCATGGCACCATGAGACAAGATACAACAATCCACAGAAAGGCCTTTGGCTGTTCCCAGGTCAAGATGGCAGCCCACAACATCTCATGGGACATAAATAACCTCATAAAACAGCAATATTAAGCAAGACCATCCTGAGATCGAAAAGACAAGATCATTTGCCATCTATAAACATGGTCAGTTCTCTGGCTAAAATGAGTGACAGCTCTTCTCTACCAATTACAGAGTAAGCTTGGCATTTGTCTCCACTTGCTATGAATGGGATTCATTGGGCTCTCTAATCACTGAGTTGTCGCTGTTCCCCAGTTGTACCTAACCTAGATCTTCCTTAGACATCCCCAAATCCTATAGCGGGTTCCTTGTTTTATTCCTCTTTGTCTTGTGTGTGTTTGTGTGTGTGCATGCATGTATATATGTGCATGTGTGTGTAAACCCAGAGGTTGGTGTCCAGTGTCTTCCTCTCTCACTTCCCCACCTTGTCTCTTTCACTGAACAAAACCTTATGAATGTGACTAGACTGACTGACTCCAAACCCGCAGGACCTCCTGCCTCTACTTCCCCAGTACGGGATTACAGGTGCACACCACTAGACTTGGATTCTTCCATGGTTGCTGGGAATGCACACTAGGTCCTCAGACTTTCAGGGAAAGCACCTTACAGACTGAGGCAGCTCCCCCAGCCCGGCTTCTTTCTGAGATGCCCCTGACTCCGCCTAAAACAACCTTCCCAATTTCAGTATAGTCTAGCACACCAGACCTTATTTTACTTACAAGTATGCTCCTAGTGTTCTTAGCCAGGTGATATTAAAATGTTGAGACAAAACATAGGTTACTCCATGACTTGGAAACCCCAGTCCAAACCATGAATGCAATGCTTGGTTTGGTGCTGTGCACTTAACAGGGGACAGAACCAAGAAGTCTTCAAACTCTAGTCCAAGCCATCTGAAGAAGATGTCATTGCTCCAAGTCTCTTGGGACAACAGATTTAATGGAGAGGGAAAGGCCCAGTTTCAAACCTTTCATTATTTAGATAGGCCACTCTAAAAAGGCCCTAGGGTGGGGAAGATGGCTCAGTTGGTAAAGAGCTTGCTTTGCAGTGTGAGGACCTGCGTTTGATCCCCAGAACCCACATAAAAGAGTTGAGCTTGGTGGAGCACAGTGGCACATGCTTGTAATCCCAGCACTGGGGAGGTGGAGACATGTGGATCCGGCCGGCCCAGCCTCTAACTCAGACTGCTGGGCTCCAGGCAAACAACGGAACTGCTCTCCAAATACAGTGGACAGTCTATGGCATACAACACTCAAGGTTGACCTCCAGCCTCCACACACACGTGCACACATGCAAACCTGCACCAGTGCACACACACATACATAAACACCCACCCACATGTACACACACACACACACACACACACACACACACACACAGGCCCAAAAATTATCCAATATGGCTCAGTGAAGATGTAATTAATTTCTCTCTCCATATATTCATTTAGGAACCTATATTATATCTGTGTTATATCTCTATATTATCCCCATGTGACAAGTCCTCGACCATATGGTACATGATAAGAGGAGAGACTGGGTGACACCTGTCTTCTGTTCATGCTGCTCTGATTCTGAAACCAGGAGGTTCTGCCTCATGTGTTATCCTCCATGGCCAATTCCCACTTCCTGTTTGCTCAGATTCAGAGAGATTATCTTGAGGATTAAAGAGTCACGCATTTCGTCAAAGGCCAAGCATGAATTTCTTTTGGCAGCACAAAATCTTCGAAAACATAGAGGGTGTTTATTGTGTGTAGCAAGAATCTTAGAGAGACTTATTAATAAAATCAAACCTGGGGCCAGTTATTGGGGTGAAATGCTGGATGGTCAGAGAGACAGAACAAGCCACAGCTAACTTCACCTGGCCAACTTTTCAGCTGGTCTTGTTTCCTCAGACTGGAAGTCTCTGTGTCCTCATATCCGAATGGCTCTCAGCTGAACTGTGCTGCTCAAAAGCCTGAATGCTTAACCAGCCAAAAGCTTAACCAGCCAAATGCTTCTAGTTTCTGGTCCTCACGCCTTATATACCTTTCTGCTTTCTACCACCACTCCCTGGGATTAAAGGCGTGTGTCACCGTGCCTGGCCATTTCCAAAGTGGCCTTGAACTCACAGAGATTCAGAGGGATTTCTACCTCTGGAGTGCTAGGATTAAAGGTGTGAGTGTCACCATTTTCTAGCCTTTGTATCTAGTGGCTGTTCTGTCTCTGACCCCAGATAAGTTTATTAGGGTGCACAACATTTTAGGGAACACAATACCACCACAATTGTGTTTGCCTCTCAACCTCTCCATGTTTAGATACCCTATGTAGACAGAGATTTAAGACTGGAAACTCTTGGAATTTTCTAGATTGGCTTCTAGGACCTGCCTACCACCTTCCTGTCCCTTAATTTGATGGTGGCCATTTGGAAGTCATCTAAAACAACAGACTTGAGTGGAATGTGCTGTGGATATCATTCTGTATAAATAAAACACTGATTGGCTAGTGGCCAGGCAAGAAGTATAGGCAGGACAAGGAGAGAGGAGAATTCTGGGAAGCGGAAGGCTGAGGGAGACACTGCCAGCCACCGCCATGACTAGCAGCATGTGAAGATGCCAGTAAGCCATCAGCCACGTGGCAAGGTATAGATTTATAGAAATGGATTAATTTAAGCTATAAAAACAGTTAGTAAGAAGCCTGGTACGGCCATACAGTTTGTAACCAATATAAGTCTCTGTGTTTACTTGGGTGGGTCTGAGCTGCTGTGGGACTGGCGGGTGACAGAGATTTGTCCTGACTGTGGGCCAGGCAGGAAAACTCCAGCTACAGGAATGGCTCTTTAACTCATTCCCCAGCAGTCCTCCAAGCTCTCAGCAGCTGTCTTACCTGCCATTGAGACTAGACTCTCACTTCACGGACATCGTCTACACTGCTTCAATTCAGGATGCAGGAGCATGGAGCGAGGCTGCAGTCAAGGGAGGCCTGACTTAGTGATGCTCACTTCCTGTGAGCTGACGCAGGAAAAGAAGCTGTACTGTGTTGACATTCTACGAGGCTGATTAACTGATTAAGACGTCAATGATTGTAGAGAGTTGGAATGTTGTAGGTTCAGAGCTAAATTGTCTTGGCTATCATTAGTCCCCTAAATCCTTCATTTCCTGCCTCTATGTGTGACCCTAATATCCTTGTGACTTTTAGATAAATTAGGCTAATAATATTTTCAGCATCTGAGGCCATAACAGAGATTCCCCCAATCTGATGTGACCCCCACCTACCTGATGTTCCCACCAATGCATTTTTTAAGTATCTTGATTTATGCTTTTCTTTGCTATGTTACTATGAAGACACATAAAACTGTTGCCACGTTGGAATATAGTATTTGTGTAGCCTAAATCCTGGGACATAGTCACTCATACTTGACACTAGAATAATCTCTCTCTCTCTCTCTCTCTCTCTCTCTCTCTCTCTCTCTCTCTCTCTCTCTCTCTCACACACACACACACACACACACACACACACACACACACACACACAGATTTATTGTTGGGGGAGGGGTGCATCCCATGGGGGGTGGAAAGGCCAGAGGACACCTTTTGGGACTTCATCCTCTCCTTCCACTGTGTTGGATCCAGGGATTGGATTCAGGTTATCAGTTGTTGTGAAATAATCTTTTTGTACACTGTGAAGATGTGTTTTTACATAAGGTACCTTCTGATTGGTTTAATAAAGAGCTGAATGGCCAATAGCTAGGCAGGAGAGGATAGGTGGGACTTCTGGGGAGAGAGAGGAACTTGGGGAGAATCTGAGGCACTTAGGATTAAGCCAGTAAGACATGGAGGGAGTCAGATGTACAGTATGCAGGGGAGGTAAGAAGCCACATGGCAGAATGTAAATTAATATAAATGGGTTAGTTTAAGTAATAACAGCTAGTTGAGAACAAGCCTAAGCTAAGGCCAAGCTTTCATAATAATAAGTCTCTGTGTCGCTGTTTGGGAACTGG